TTTTCTAAAAGCAAGTGTTTTGAACCCTGCTTGGGAGAAGGTGTCTAGCTTACACCCTGTGAAAAAGAATTATTGGGCAAAATGGGATCAGTTGAAGCTTGAAGATGGTAGTCTTGTCCGGAGATGGGAAGTGACGACCTGGTAAACGGTTATACCGAGAAAGTTATGGGAAGTTGTGCTGCATCAATCCCATGATAGTTTAACAGGAGGACATCTTGGAGTTAAGAAGACATTGAATCACCTGCAGCAAAGATTTTACTGGATAGGTATGAGACAAGATGTGGAAGAATGGTGCAAGACCAGCAGTACATGTTGTGCTAAAAGGGGACCCAAGCATAAGGAATGTTCTCCAATGAAGTTATATCAAGTTGGCGCACTAATGTAAAGAGTAACCCTTGACATTGCTGGTCCTTTGCCCCAAACTCGTGGTAGAAGCAAGTACATTTGTGTGGTGATGGATTATTTCACCAAGTTGCCTGAGGCATATGCAATACCAAATCAGGAAGTTACAACTGTAGCTTCAGCTATTAGTGATTTCTTCTTCAGATTTGGTATGCCATACAAACTGCATTCCGACCAAGGCCGTAACTCTGAATCAGCTGTGTTCCGTGAATGCTGCAAGTTGTTTGGCATATGAAAGACCACGACAATGCCACTTCACCCACAGTTTGATGGAATGGTAGAAATGTACACTTGGACAGGAATTGAGAAAGTTTTGTAACAGCCATCAAGATGACTGGGATGTTTTACTCCTTCCACTGTTGATGGCCCATAGAACAGCAGAACATGAAGCCACTGGATACACTGCAGCAAAGCTGTTGTTTGGTTGGGAACTTTGGTAGCCAGTGGACCTGATAACAGGATGCCTACCTTATGAAGTTACCTGAAAATGTGTCAGAGTTCGTGAAGGTGTTATCTGAAAGGATGGATGATATTCACTATCAAGTACGTTCAAACTTGAAAATGTCTGCTGATTCCATGAAGCTATGTTATGATAAGAGATCTACTGAAGTCGACTTTGTACCAGGAGACAAGGTGTGGTTGTATAATCCCAGGAAGACAAAAGGGAAGTCTCCTCAGTTGTCATCTCCATGGGAAAGCCCATATGACATAGTGGATCGTCTCTCAGACGTGACTTTTCTGATAAAATGTGGGCGGCGAAGTAAGCCATAGGTGGTGCATGCCAACAGGCTTTGGCATTATCATGGACCAGGACATTTCAGTTGGAACGAGATGAACAACAGAACAAATGACACTGCTGATAACGTGTCACCTGAAAAAGCCACTGTTGAAGAAGAAACTCTACCTGATTTTGAGAGGGAAAACAGTGAAGTCGTTAATGACGTTACTGATGGAGCAGATGAACCTCACGTGAAGCAGAAGCGAGTACAGAAGAAGATACATCCCGTAAAATTAAGAGACTTTGTTGAATTCTAATTTTGTGTTTATAGTGTTTGTAAATTCTGTACATTTAATTAAGTTATTGTTAATTATCTATTGGTTTAATGTAAGTGGCTATTGTTTGGGAAGGGGCAGTGTTACAACAGAGGAAGTCACGTGACCCTAGTAACACGTCATGATATTCTAGAAGGTTCGTGAATGCTCGAGTGTTTACTAGATGTGAGGTACTCTTGTATATAAGACCGCCAAGAAGTGACGGCAAGAATGGAATTGAACTGCAGACAGAGATAGAGACGGACAATTGAGTCAAGCGCGTGAGTCATTCGTTGTGAATTATAGCATTTGTTTAAGTTATAGCATGACTGTGGAAATAAGTGTATTGCAAAGTTGTATAGAGAAAGAATAAACTATTTTTATTTAAGAAAGTACTTGTATCACTAAAGTTTCGTTACAGAGACGTAACATATGAAACCCACTTTGGGTAATTGGGTTTAAACACAATTTAATATTAAATTATTTTTGAAGTATTGAAAGATATTTTTTGATTTGTCACAAATATTTTTTTTTGTTTTTAAATGTTTCAAAAATATATTTTGTCTACAGAATTTGATTTTAATCTGCTGATTTGTCACAGCAGCCCTTCCATAAACTAAATAAGTTTCATATGTTTACTTTGAAATGCCCAATTTTTACTGACTTGTCATTTATTGTAAAATATTTATAGTTATTTTATTACTTCATTTTTACAAATCTGTTTTGTTAAACATTAAGCGTTTTTCATTACGATGATGTACTATATTTCATACATCAATTTTCACTCTTCCTATACATTTCCACATCAAAACTAGATCAAGAACCTAGTTCTTGAAGTGCCTGCCAAAGTATCAAGATGGAATACATATTTTGATATTAAAATCTAGTGATTACTTGATAATATAATTTATCCTAAGCTGAAAATGTATATTTTTGCAAGACTTAGAAGAACCATTATAATTATTTTCTGGTTTATAAAGAAAATAATCATAGAATTCTAAAATAAGTTCACACTCCTCAATAATTTATAAATATGAAGAGGGATTTTGACATATAAACCTAATGTTTGTTTCAATATCCCTTATCGTGTAATTTTCTTTTCTCTTATATCCTCAGAAATATGAACTGTTGGTTAAAATGTCAACTCCTTCAACATCACTTGGAGTTTCAAGTTTGTATTTTCTATCATTAACATACTGTACAGAAGTCTTTACACCAGCATACAACATTCTTTTGAGCAAACATTGGTTTAAATGAGCTTAAACTGTAGCAATTTCTTTTAAGTCAGCAAATAAAAAAAAATTCTAACAATTAACTTTTTTTTTTCAATTAAACACTGCAACAATATTACATTAATTGAAATTCAACAGCAGCAGTTTTAGAAGCAAGTTAAAACCTTAAGTAAGACTCTACCTATGCACAAGAAAAATTAGAAACCTTATACTGATGAATCTGTAGAAGTATACTAATTGGTTAAAATTTCATATTTGTTCTATAAAGTATTCTAAGATATCATTTTAACATTTGGATTTTGATGATAAAGGCTGCAAAGTACCTATGAATGACTAAGCTAAAATGCTATGAAAAACACTTTTTTTAACATTAACCATGATGATTTCCTACAGACATTAAAATAGTAAATAAAGTAAAATTTAAACAAATTACATGGTATATTTTCAGTAGCAACAGGAGCATAGCTTCTTTCAGTTCAGTTCATGTTAAGCAGGTTTTATTATTTTTTTGTCCATGCCAACCTAACATTTTACAATTTATAAAAATTCACTTGCTTTTGCATAGAAGTTTATAAGTACTAACTGCTGTTTGTTAATTTTCAGTTGTTTGAAAATAAAACAAATATGGATTCTTTTATTTTCAACTTAGAAGATAACTTGCTTTGGATATTAAATTGTTCAGTTGGTAGTAAAGTAATCACCATTGGCATACTGTAAACATTACTGTTATTGGCATAATGTATTCCTTGATATAAAATCAGAATACTGTGAACATTACTGTTATTGGCATAATGTATTCCTTGATATAAAATTTAGAATACTGTAAACATTACTGTTATTGGCATAATGTATTCCTTGATATAAAATCAGAATACTGTAAACATTACTGTTATTGGCATAATGTATTCCTTGATATAATATCAGAATACTGTAAACATTACTGTTATTGGCATAATGTATTCCTTGATATAAAATCAGAATACTGTAAACATTACTGTTATTGGCGTAATGTATTCCTTGATATAATATCAGAATACTGTAAACATTACTGTTATTGGCGTAATGTATTCCTTGATATAATATCAGAATACTGTAAGCATTACTGTTATTGGTGTAATGTATTCCTTGATATAAAATCAGAATACACATTACTTTTATTGGCATAATGTATTCCTTGATATAAAAACTCAGAATATACAGTATCATACATTCTCAGATAACAGAATACCAAGGCTCAGCCCACACACTATAGTTATGTAGAACAAATTAATAGTTTCCAGTTGCCACTGCCACAAAATGAAATGCTGGAAAATGAACTTGCATTTGAACTAATTTCACGTAAAACAACCATAGATTCAATTAATAATTGTTTGAGCATAAAGTATAAAATAATACACAGCATGTTTTCATAACATATGGACATTTTCATCATTAATCTACACTATTGCTGATTAAATAATGAAGGAAATATCTTTTTTTTGCATTAGATGTATTTTTCTTACACAAACACTAACAAACAAAGTAATTCAAATTTCTATTAAACAATGACCCTGAGTAATAGTAACATAAATAAAATACAATCTATAACAATATATATTACTTAAAATCAACTATACATGTCAGACAATTTTAATTATCCTTATAAAATAATTAGCTGAACTAAAATGGTGTTTATCACCACCGAATTTGGTCTTTATACTGATCATGAACACTCCATCGCTTCAATGTTTCATAACCTAGCACAACCAAGAATGAAAAGATGCTACTCTGCACTAATCGAGCAGAAACACCTTTTGTGAATATTCTGAATCCTTCCTCTTTCCATAATAAAATTGAAGTTCCAAGGAAAGAGTCCATTCGTTGAACCTAGGAAAAATAATTCATAAAGTATTCAACAAATTCGTTATTTACATAAGTGATTGATTTATTTTATAGATTTTTCATATTTATAAGAAAGAAAAAAAATTGAACAGCAACTGAAAAAATACAAATAACATTCTTATACCAGTAATTTATAATGAACCTCTGGCTGCCATTATTATCTAGCATATGAATGGTACTGGTTATCAACCGTAGCTATAACTACCTCATACTGAGTGTGTAATGACACAAATACTGACATGACAACTTGTGATACAGATGTACTGAGCATCAATACTGTACTACAAAACATTACAAGTGGCCAATTAAGGCAGGATCCAAAGATTTCACCTGCATAGAGCTGTTAGTTATGTACTGCTTACATTTCTACTAGTGGCCTGCCACGAAAGAGAATAATTACACTATAGGTTTATGTGATCAGGCTTAATACACATTTATGCCACATACCAATCCTCCTCATGTGTCAAGACATGATCAACAGTTATAAGTCAGTTTTGCATAAAACAGTTGTCATGTGTCACTCCTATGAATAAATTAATATTATCAACTTTAAATCTATTACAGTTCAGGCCTAAAAAAGATTTCAAATAAATGAACTATATTTAATTTGTGGTTGGAATGTATAATGGTGTGTGTTATGAATATGTTTGTTGCAAGATGCCAGCATCTTCAACAACTGTAAAGATAATGAATGGGTGCAATGCTGGTCTTTCACAGAGCAAAGACAAATTATGAATAACGCCCCCTAGTGATAAATTGTTCAAATAGCTATTTAATCTCCATAGAATTATGAATCCAGCTTTGATTAAGCTCTTATACAAGAACAATCATTGTACTTAAGAAACAATGCTACTTACATAATGTATATGTATATACATACATGTTTAGTAATTTTCTATGGTAATTGATAAGTTTAGATTTCAGTACCTACTAATTCTTTGTATCAGTCTCATTACAAAGTCAATATATTTAATTTCTGAGCTTACATTTAAAGAAATCAATATATAGAGTTCTTGACCTTAATATGTCTAGCATGTAAGACATGTTTTATCCACGTTTAGGCTAATGATGGTTTATTTTTAGTGATAAACCTTAATAATTAAATTACGAGAAAAAGATTAGGCAATTTGTGTGTGTTTCTCTCTCTACATATATATACACACATACAGTTACTACATTTCTTGTCTTCTTCAGAATTATAATGCATGTTTGTAACAAGAAGTTTTGAAATTTGGAACTTATGATCATACAAAATACTCTTTTTAGTAATCCATATAGGTTTCTATGCCTGTCTATCAATCTATCTATATCTATTTATACATTTTAAATAGGTATGAATACAGCTTTTATAGGCACAATGAAATTAAAGTATGTAATAATAAATTGGCAAACAATGATTTATAAGCATAATAAAGTGATTTATTTTTGGAGGAACATACTACATGTTTCGACAGAACATTGGTCTGTCTTCTTTAGGTATGGTCAAACCAATGTTCTGTCAAAACTCGTAGTAAGTTCTCACAAATAAATCAGTCTTTATGCTTATAAATTGTTGTTTGCCAACTTATTATTATATTAGCAATACGTGCTTCCTTACTCAAGTATTAAAATATGCAATTATGTGTGTTTACATAATGTGTAGTATTTTTGTAATGATGTAATCATTAATATGTATTTATGCAAAGCATACATTTTGTAATTTTGTAGAAAATAAAGTCCCAATTAATGCTAATGTGTAGTGAAAGTGTTCATTTTAATTCCTAAAAATTAAATCTAAATACATCCTGCCAGCCAACAGCATAACCAATATTTTTGATTGGGAGGTGGGGGTGGGGCAGAGAGCCATCAGATGTAGGGTCAATTAAAATAACATTTATTCAGTCCACTTAAGTTTTATTTAAGATTGATTGATAACATATTCACATAATACATACAATATACACAATTACATATAAGTGTGTGTATATATATAATAAGAAACATGAAATGAAACATTAAGTGAAAAATATACATTAAATAATGTAAATGAAGGAACCATGAAAGAGAAATGATACAATTCATGGAGATAAGAATTGATTATTGACTGATTGAGCACAAAATTAAAACAGCATAACAAAATATACAAATGTTTTGTTAGCATTATAGTGCATCTTATAGTTACAAATTAAATTGGAGTCCACGAGCCAAGGTTGTGGCAAATTTGTCAATCACAGCATCAATTCATGGGGTGTGCATCCTATGAACTCAGAAGTGCCTCCAAACAGTCCTCCTCCATAGTAGATCTGATTACAGTAAGTGTTCGCTCGAGTTTTAAGAACAAGCATTCTGCCTCGGCTGTCATTATTCGAACTGTAGCAAGTAGCTGAAGCAGTGTGGAAATGGCCAGGAAAAAGCTGCCACACTGATCTAATGCAGATATTGCACTGGTCAGCTTTTTGTCAGCCACAACATTCTCCCATTTCTTTAGTCACAATCAAACTTGCTCTAGACAACTCTTTTTTTGGGTTTGCAAGAAGATCCGAGTACAGGTTTATTGTGCACTGCAGCTGTTCCAACTGTTTGTTTGCATCAACATTTGATGAGTACATCATGCTGAGAATAAACCAACTGATGTTTACTGTTTGTCGAAGCTCAATGTCTTTAATAACCATGTCAAGTGTTGGATAATAGAAATTGATTCTATAGCAGTTTTCAGTAGTGGTATCATCTCCTTCGGTCTTTACAATGACTGTGAAGCAGAAGCTGTCTGGGGTTTTGTAAACTCAAGACCCAGCAGTTTGGCAACCAAACAACTTTGAGGATTCTGCTTCTGTCCAAATGCTTTTCAAGGAACCCAAGAGATCAGCAACAGAAGTCATTGCTTGTACAAGAACAAATCATAATTTCTGCAGGGTACGAAAGAATCAGCAAAGAAACTAGGAAATCAGATTGACAAACAGAGCTCCCAAGAATATATTCACTATTTTCATTCATCTTATTCAGCACCTCCATCACAAATTGCAGTAAGCTTCACAAAGTAACAAGAGCTGTATGTCACTCAACAAAATGTGCATCATACAAAGTTGTGAGTTGTTTTTTCGATATATGTGTGTGTGTCATTAGCTGTTACAATGCAGGATTTGACTAAGTTTTTTTTTGTCACTGGACCGAAAACATGTTGAAATATCTTTCATAATAACTTGTGCATGTTGGATTGCTGGGACAGATATTGATTTTGAGGCACTAAGATTCAAGCAGTGAATGGTGCAGTGGAAGTAATAGGCAAGTGGAGCACATTTTTGAAATGTGGCTGCAGCACCAACACGCTTACACAAGCTGAAAGGTCAAAATACAATGCTTCAACTGTTTATAGCAGGGTTTCATCAATTGCTATTCCACTGAGATTATTCTCACCATCTCCATCAGATTCTCCACTTGCATTTATAGCAAGGTTTCATCAATTGCTATTCCACTGAGATTACTCTCACCATCTCCATCAGATTCTCCACTTGCGTTTATAGCAAGGTTTCATCAATTGCTATTCCACTGAGATTACTCTCACCATCTCCATCAGATTCTCCACTTGTCTTTACGTCAGAATATATGTTCAGAATCACAACTGGATCTTCATAACAATTCCAAATTCCAGAGTCATTCCACGTATCTTATAACAATTGCAAGTTGTTCTCTTTTAAGCCTGTCCATGGTCTTGTCTGCAATTATTGTCCAAAATTTCACCTTCTTGATTCTGTTTTACTAAAGCACCATCAGCTGATATGAGCACATTCTGAATTTGAGTGGATTGATATGTCACATTTGCATTGGTAGTTTTTGCATGTTCCCTAAGAACAGTCTCCTCCTCTTATTCTGTACCACAGTAATGCATGAAAGTTTCCATTGTTAACATCAGGTTCTTTGGCATCTGCAGCTACAGACCCACTTTCACAATGGTGACCTCATACAAGTAAGAATTGTGCCAACAAGCAGAACGAGTAGATTTTTGTTCTGCTGAACCTCTTTCTTGTGACCCTCATCCAATCTAGAATACATGTCAAATTCATCCAGCACAAATACTATCTTAAAATCTTCCATTAAATGAACACTTCTTTTGTGATAATTGTTTTGTTGATAAGTTAATAATGCTCCGTTCTTTCCAGTCAAGTAATCCAAACAAGTTAATGGCTTCGTGACAAAAGTGCGAGCAACTTGGCCACGTCCCTCCGACCGACCACCAACACCTGATGATGCAAAGAGAATGCATGAAATACAAAATGTACCTTCTCGACCAAGGACTCTACTCACTGAAGGCCAGGGAAAAGTCTGAAGATAATGATGAAGCAACTGACTGTGGTGCATAATTCCTGACTTCATGTGTGTTCATGATGGAAAGTATGATTCAGTCAATGGCTCTAAGAGCTTCATAAACATGGCCCTATATTGTGCAGTAAGTGTGCAAACTGCATCACCAATGTACTACTTGTAGAACTTGCACCACAGTGGCCACTCTGCTGTTTTTCTTATCTTCTCCTGGAACTACTGGTTTTGGTTGAGGAGTGGTAGCTGAAGACTGGTTTGTGAGGGCAGAAGATGGAAAGGCAAAGAAACATGTGAAAGTTGGTTGGAACTTATGCTTAGCTGGTGGTTCAGATATGACTACCTGAAACAAATAATTCAAGGTGACCACAAATCTTAGCTCTATATTGCCATAATTTAGGAACTGCAGGAATGAAAAAAAAATTGATTTTATCTTTCTCTCCTGTCTTCTAACCCTTGTACTGCATAAATAAAAGAATAAAAGAAAATCTATAATTACCTAACCTACACCTAACAGAGAACTCCCAACTGGGGGTTGTACCCTTTAGGCCACCATACCTAACCTAATGGAGTCATTTCTTGCTGTGGCTTATGGGGCCCCTAAACTCTCTTACCTAACCAAGCCTATAATTACCTAACCTAGACCAAATTGAGTGCTCTCAGGTCACCCTAACTAACCTAATGGAGTAATTTCTTGTTGTAGATATGTAGCTATATTGTAAAATTTAGCAATACATATGTATATATATACATATATATATATATATGTGTGTGTGTGTGTTTGTACGACAGTACTTGCATGAATTTATTCACTAAAATATGTGCCCTAAAACAAAACAAAATGATATGGATAGTGTAAAATTTCATTCACTAGAATCTAAATTGAAATTTCCAACCAGGAACTGCCCAGCTCACCAAATTTGTAACATTTACATTTTACTCAATAGCATGCATGCTAAACCATTAATTCTAAATACGTTACACTCCTAATAATATAAAGCATGTACAAAACATGCACAAATTATTTCAAGGCATTAAACTTATCTTAAACAATAATAAAGTATTGCCAAATTTTCAAACACTTCAAGGTCAAATCTAACTCGGAAATAAAGTAGATGCCAGATATTGTGAGAAAATGTTACAAATACATAAATACTCTCTAAAACTTACTAAATCTGACGAACATGACACTTAATTGGATTTTAATTTCTAAAGTGCACATCAGACAGATGGTAGCACTGTCTAGGTAGGGATGACCTGGATTGTTCATTGAAATGCTATTGTAAATATCTCCTCAACAGGTCATCAAAACTTTACAATACTATGCAATGTTTCCCTTGATAACAATAACTATGTAATGACTGAGTCACAACTTCTGGGAACGTCTGTAAATATCATAGCAAAATGTTTCAATTTGTTGTTCTTCTTTCTTCTTCTTTTTTTTTAATTACACGATAACTCAAAACCCAAAACAATGATGTCAAACAAAGTCACTGAGATGATATAGTTTCAAACAGAGTATCCACTTTTATAATATTATTAACTTGTAGTGATTAAAAACATTGTGCAATTCTAGTGTAAATTATGTTATCATTACCCTTTGATGTTAGCTTTCTTACAGAAATTTTATGTTCCTTTAAAAAACTTATGTACAGGGTGAAACAGGAATTATCAGCCAATAATAGATAAACAATAAATATTACTGTTGGAACCTCATTGTATTTAGAACTTGGTTATAAATACAATCTTCCTATGTCTATTTAAACACTGCATTAAAAAAAAAGCAAACAAGTAAAAGGAAAAACTTTTCAAAAAAGGAAGTAAATGTAGGGATGGCTAATATCAATCCTTGAAAAACAATGCCAACAAGACAGTAGGGATCCCATTTACATCATCCATACATAATAGCATAGGCACACATTGTAGTAAAATTTTAACAGACAAAAACAGAATAAATTAAACTCAACTATGATTTAATAGTTATATATATTGCCACATGTTAATTCTTGCCTGTGCTGTTATGTAGGGATGATGCAAATACCATCCCTACTATCTTGTTTGCATTGTTTTTGAAGAATTGATATTAGCCATCCCTACATTTACTTCCTTTTTTGAAAAGTTTTTCTTTACTCCTATATCAATGTATCTGAAGCATTACAAATTTGTCACATTTGTCCAAATAGGGTTAATTAATTGATAAAAATTTATGATTTTAATGTTTGGAAGTGGTTGATTCCAATTTTAAATGAAGTTTATTCCTTTAATATAATTGAACCACATTAAATTCCCATAAACTGTTAAAATTATATAAGGAATGTTTAGAGTTGTTATTGTTTTATTTCAGAAGAGAAAGGCTATGGGTGGCACTGTCCTCCGTCAGGAAGATCCAGGAGAAAAATCAGTTTTCTCTTGGATCAATTATGCAGTTTTCAGTTTTAAGACTTTTTATTACTTTCTATGGTTTTATAACCTTACCATCTTTCCTACAATATAGTGTGTTTTCATCTGTATTAATGCTTTCTTGGTTTTATCATTTATTTGGAATATACAATATAAATAATTTTCATGTGTATGATTTTTTCCAAGTAATAAATTACTGAAAAATCCTTGACTGATAGTTATTTAAACCAATAGGAACATGGCATTTGTGTAAGGATAATTATTAAAAAACTCAGTACACAATACTTTAAAAACAGTTGAAGGAACCAAGCCTTACTAAAATCATCTACATTTTTCAGTGGGTCATAGACCCACAATCATCAGGAAGGAAAAAACTGGTGATAGTAAGTCTTAACTTGGTACTGCAATATAAATGTAATTAAAATATAATAACTTGAAATGTATTACAAAGAAAACATCATGTTAAACATACTATGAGGTGTGTCAAACACAAATACTCCCACTTTAAATGACCCCTGTCAATTATCAAAACACAAGGAGCAGACAACTGGAAGTAATTGTTACGACAGCGGAAGTCATGCAACACTGGGATCATGCACACTCGAGTTTCTAAAAGGATCATGAATTTTCCTGGCAACTCTAGTTTGTTCGTGGTGCCCTCTTTTTTAGTATATAAGCCTGGCGAGAAAAACTAGAGCAATAGATGCAGAGATATGCAGATAGATTGAAGATAGAGATAATTGAGTCAAGCGAACAGTAGGCACCGTAAGTAAAGTGTGTGAACCACTGTGATTTATAGCGTGTATTATAAAGGTTGTTAAGTTTAAAGTGACTGTGGAAATTCTGTGTATTACAAAGTTGTATCGAGAGAGAATAAACTAGTTTTATTTAAGAAAGGACTTGTTTCACCGAAGTTCCTCGGAAATAATTTATACCGGAAACTAACAAACGACCAGATATGTAACATAATAATTAATCTTTTGTAAAACCCAAAACATAAACAAAATAAGCTTTTAGAAAGTTCAATAATAATAAGAATGACTTAGAAACGACAGTTATGTCAATCATAAATACAGCAAAGTAATTAGCAAAAGCTAATGTAACTTACCTAATGATGTAGTTTAATACTATATTTTGATTAAGATAGTACTCTGCGCTAATAAGTGCCATTCAAATAAAATGACTGAATAAAACTGAAGCACATTTAAAGAGTGGTTCTGTTTTTGATGTAGAAGATACTGCCTTTTAATTATAAAGCCTTTGTGTTGCTTGGACTTACTGATGTTTATGTCTTTAGACTAAAACTTAGTCTACACAGTGTATAATTCTGATCTTACATAAACACAACTTAAATTGTTTCTCTCTTGGTTACAGAACAACATAAAACACTTGTAAAGTACTCTATCCAAGTACTACTTGGCCAGTCTAATAGAAATCACTTACCTGTATTCTAGCTCTTACTATGTCTAATGGGTTGGTAATAAAGCAAACACTTATGCCACCCATTGGTCCTGCCATGCAGTGAATCAGCAGATGAGATGTTGCCACAGGCAAGAGGGATGCTAACCATTCTAAATTTTTAAAAATCACAAATAATAATTTATTCTATCTTACATAAATATGTAGTAGGTTTATTATTTGATAAACTGAAAAATTCTGAGCATTTCTTTCTAAGAAGCATCTATTTAGAAATCTTTTATCAAAAAAAGATTTTACATCTTAAGAACTTTATAATTACTGCCCATTCTGTATCACTTAATCCTTTCTTATTTGGTTAATGACCAGTGTCTCCAAAAGGATGTGTGGAAAGATAACATACAAACAATGAGAGTGTACCTTTTGGAAATGTAAAATTTAAACCCACCCTTTATTCTTCAAGAAATTATCAACCATAACTCTTAATCTCCTCTAAAGCACTGGCCTCCATTAATAATGATGGCAACTCATTACATAAACCCATCATCTTGTTGTTAGATAAAATTGTCTTAACTGGAGTCTATCCTGTTATTGTTAACTTCAATAAGATTACTTCTTACCCTTCTTTTCCAGAGAGAAAATAAGTCAAGATGTCTTAACCTATTCCTATAAGATAATCATTCTAGTAGCTATTATCTGAACATTTTGGGAGTTTGAATGGCCCTTTCTTTATAAATCAACAAAATTCCAAACTCACATGTGGTTAATATTATACACTATGCACTCAATTTATGTATCCACGGAAGTGAAAGAGTTAACTGGATTATAGAATTAGGTTTTAAAACAAGCACATGGTAACTGTATCATATTTTAAACTATCAGCTATATTTTCAAGTTCAGAAAATTCCAAACCATTACATTCACTTGGTTTCTAATGTTTACATTTTGTTATTTTTACTGATGTATAAATCAAGACAATTTCAGTACAAAATGTTAGTATTACATCAACCAAATTGCATTATTTCAATGTTAATAAAAATTTGTCATCTATAATGTTTTATTTAAATGCTACTTTACAATGTTTAATTCTACAAGTAGAACCAGCTTAAACCATCAATAACATCAAAAACAATGTCTTCACAACCGTCTACCTCCCTTCTTTTTACACTATCATATATGTGGATGTGAGAAGTTATAATAATGTTCTTAAACTTGAACACACCTGTACACACAAAGGTGATAAGAAGAAATTAGATTTGAAATCTAATTATTAAGAACTATTAACATAAAAGAAATAATTTCCAGTATTTCAAATGAAAAAACTCTTACCTGAATATAAAGGATAAAACATCCACCAGAGAGCACTACCAGGAACATAAGTGCACAAAGAAGCAAAATACCCTCGATAAAACCCTTTCAGTCCATCTTTTCTGTAAAGTTCATTTATTATGGAAGCTACAACAGACCTTCTGTGTTTCTGGTTAAAGTCAATATTGAGTAAGTTGGCTGCCTCTGCACTCTTGACACCAGAGCCACTTTTTTGACCAAGCATCATCATGTGTTGGGATACCACATCAAATGGAGTAATGATGGTCTGTCCAACTAACGAACCACAGCCTCCACCTATCAAGCCTTTCAATCTTCCATCTTCAATATTAGCATACAAAGTCAAGAGATGACGTACCTTTTCATATGTTATAATGTAGCCTACACCAGACACTATCTGAATAGTATTGATCCAAAAACCTTTGTACAGCCCATGAAACCCTTCATAATGGAGTATTTTCTTGAATGCATCATATGTTCCTCTGTAGACATCACGGTGTTTCTGAATCTGGAGACGAGTTTTGATGACAGTGAAGGGGTACAAAGTGGCACGAAGAAAAAAGGAATTAACAAGGTTAAGGGAGAAAAACCTACTCTTGTCCATCATATCCCATTCAATAGTTAAAATACGTGATGATTCCATTCTTTCCAAAGAGCACTGTTTAAAAACCATTCCACATGTACTAAAAACTTATACTGAACTAAACATTCAGTATCACCTTGGTGAAAGCAAAGTTGTCTGTTTAGCATTGTTACCACTCTCCACGATGTTCATTGATGCACTGACATCAAAAAGTTTTAAAATCATATTGTATCTGCAAGAGAGAATGATGCTACTAGAACAATGTATTACTCACATGTGAGATACATAAACTCAAAATAAATTAAGCACTTTGCCTAAGTTATACATGAATCATAATGTTAATGATGAATTAAATAGTGGCTTATTTTACTACATACACATATGTATGTTTATAGAAAGCAAAACTGGAACATCATAATGTGATGTATCATCTTTTTTTTGCAATGCATTAAAACAACAAGTACACATCATCTACATCTTTAATGTAGCAGACCTGTTTGAAAGATAATTTTTAATATATACAGATCCACGAATAAATTAAAACGATAAATTAAGAGCAATACTAGCATCACAACTATTATATGAAGTTTCTTTACATTTGAAATCAAGCATCTTACAAAATTTTGTAAGTTGCAATAAATCTATTAATTTTTTAAATAAGATACGAAAAACATTGTATTATTTACTGACAGTTAATAGGTTGAACAGTTAAATAAATTAAGATCTGGATAATGTATTTTTTCTTCTTTTGTAGGGTAATTAGCAACCTAAATGAACTAACTGACCTTCAGTGACGTACCTCTTTCATATACTTTTTTAAGTTCACTATCATAAATATTACTTGATGCCTTTATTAAAGCTAACAAAGACTCTTCATACATATTCAGTTATGAAATTTGCTAACATAATTGTCCGTAGTATCTTAACAGCCATAAGTATTAATAGCAAATGTTTTCAGATTAATTCAAAACTGTTAGACATTTAATATAAAAGACAATATCATGGTATTTCACAAATTATTCTCTACAACTGTAAAAAAAGGTCAGACACTTCTAGCTGATTTATATCAGTGACATATATATGATGGAATAATCGATAAATTAAATCTGCTGATATCATGGTCTTATGTGGTTGCTGCTACTTTACAAAACAATTTAGATCATTTGGTGAGTTGCACAAATAACTGGCACATGTCTTTTAATTACAATACATCAAATGCAAGGCAATGAATGTGGGTTATTATAATTTAAATTATAATTTTTATGAGAATAACTATAACAGAGTATTTAAAGAAAAGGATCTTGGTGTTTTGGCTGATCAGTTTTTTATGTCATAAAAGTTGCATGCTGTTGCCAGTGGTTGGGCAAATAGGATTTTGGATTGTATCTACAATAACACTGAATATAAGTCTAAAGAAGTTATCATTTCATTGTATATGTCACTGGTTTGGCCTTATTTGGAGTATTATGTTTAGCCTTGGGCTCATTACCTTAAAAAGGACAATGAACTGTGGGAAAAGTTGTTAAACAAGGACAGGTTATGATCTCTGAAATTGTTTTCTCTTTAAAAAAGAAATGGAGTGGATCCCACTGAGAAATTTAATATTATTAAAAATGTATCATCTTTTTATATCTAATGATGAGAACAAAAGAACAAATGGATACAAAATATGAATTAGGACTCATCTTCAGTCTAGACAGTTTTACTTATCTATTCGAGAGGTTAGCTTTTAGAACTGGTTGCTTCAGATGTGTTGGATGCAGTAAATTTCATGAAAAGCTTGATAAATATAAAAAAAATAAGGCCTAAGGACTGGATGTGAATTTATTGTTTTATTCTTATTACTTTAGATTGATGTGACAACTCTGAGACTGAAAGGCCTTCTGTTAACCTTAAATGTTATTTTTGTTAATGGAAGTTAGAAGTTAGTGCATTTCTTGGTCAAAAAGGCCTTTTGATGTCATATAATTCATAAATCTGACCACTTAACTTATTAATATATATTGGTTGATTAATATATAAGCCATCAAACCATTTGTAAGTTTTAAAGCCTTCTGCTAAGCATCTGGCTGTAGTAGAAAAAGCTACTGTATACTTGTTTTGTATGTTCTAATACCACAAGTGCTGGAACTATGTAGTTTCTTTAAAAAAAAATATTGTATTTTCGTTCAGCAAAGAAATAAGTAAGAAAATCCTGATAATAATATTGGTTATACTATCAGTAATCTCATTACACTCTACACAAGGATGTGTATTTCATTTTGTAACTCAAAATGACTGAGTAGTATCTGTAACCTTAAATAGTAATTTAGTTTTCTTTTTTTGGTGATATACAAAATGATATAATTATTAACTGTATTAGTTTATGGGCCAGAAACTTTTAAAATATTTTGGTAAAAGGTACAGAAACAGATTTTTAGAACTTTTCTCCACAAGTCTAATTTGTAAATTAGATAACTTTAGCTATAGCTATTTCAAGGGTCACAGGTTTGAATCTCATCACCCTCTCAACCTTGAGTGTTATAATGCGACATTCAACACCACTCTTTGTTGGTAAAGAGAAGACCAAGAGTTGACAGTGGATGTGTTGAATAGCTCAGTAGATGTCTTTCCTGTAGTCTATCACTTCAAAATTAGAGACAGATAGCCCTTGAGTTGATTTTCAGAAAAGTCGACAAATAAAAGCTATTTCAAACTTGTTAACAGTTACCAGCCTTAGCTACAACATATAATTCAATGGGACACAAATGGCTGATTATGTAAAAAATATTGCATTATTGTGGAGACCTATTACTATTAGTAAATAAGTAATAGTAGCACTATTAGTATTAGTACGATTATTTTTGGATGAAAAAAATGCAACCTATGTTCTTAGTGATTCATGATTATTTTTCACGTAAATGAAACTCTTTTTCTTTAAATTAAAATACCACGGACTAGACTTCCTAATATTGATATTAAGACTTGAAAGTTATATAAAACTTTACATGTAATAAAAAATTGGCCATACATTATATTCTACACTTTTAAATTAAATATAAAGAAGTTCTGTGATGTATTTTCATGAATTTATTGTGTTTTAATTGTCGAAATAAATACATAACATTTCATTAACATCAACGCTTTACTTTACTGTCTTTAGTTACTTCCAAAGGCACTTCAGTTTAACTTTTATTTTTGCTTTCCTAAGCCTAAAGCATACACACTATCCATAGACAGTCACACGCCTTTAAATGTAAAGTTAGTAGTATTAGGACTTCATACTATTATTTCTACCATCACTCTTCATTTTAACTTAATACTTGTTAATATTAGTTCTAGTCATATGCAGCGTTACGATAGGCACGGTTTCCAAACTAAACCTACAAATCCATACGATTACGAGTTATAATTTTATTACTCTGGTAGTGGTACATTGGTATATAATATATAACAACCATAACTTTAGATAATGAAGAAGAAAAAAGTTCAAGTCATTAATCATCGTAATTTCAAGCCAAATATCTCAGGTGGATAACAGCTAAATCTACAGTATTAACATACCTATAAATTAAAAAAAACACACAACCTTAGGGTTAGGCCCGGTCAGCTGATTCAAGCATATATTATTAACAAGCTAAACAAAACATTGTTGAAGCAAGTCGTATGAAAATCTAAATGCACCAGTATATTTAAACGCTTGGCAACTTGTAACTCTTAAACTAAATACTTATCTTAAAACAAACTAACAGAAACATATAATTTCTTAGGAAATATGGAAGTATATCACACGTGGTTGACAACTGTTACTTTACAAAGTTTCTCCGTTAAAAAAAAAAAAATCAAACGTGTCTCCCTTAAAACTCACATGAGCGTAACCAGGAAAGGGCAGCTGTGGCGTGGAACGACTACCCCAATGTTTCAAAAGGTCTAAAAGGTCCATTATCTTCTGTTTTCATTTTTAACTAAACACTTAATCTCATACAAATAACTTCAATTCTTTGTGGAGGAGAAAAGTACACTGAAGCTGAAGCTGAAGTTGTAGCTTCCTGATTTGGTATTGCATATGGCTCAGGCCATTTGGTGAAATAATCCATCAACACACAAATGTACCTATTTCCAGAACGAGTTTGGGGCAAAAGACCAGCAATGTCAATGGCTGCTCTTTCCATTGGTGAGCCAACTTGATATAACTTCATTGGAGCACGTTCCTTATGCTTGGGTTCCCTCTCAGCACAACATGTACTGCAAGTCCTGCACCATTCTTCCACATCTTGCCTCATACCTATCCAGTAAAATCTCTGTCGTACGTGACTCAATGTCTTCTTAATGCGAGATGTCCTCCTGTTAAAGTATCATGGGATTGACGCATCGCAACTTCCCGTAAATTTCTCGGTATAACTGTTTGCCAGGTCGTCACTTTCCCAAGCAGGGGACAAAACACTTGCTTTTAGAAAATCAATTATTGGCTTCAAATCTTGGTCTTTCTTCTGTTCTGCTTTGATATCTATATTTGGTTCAACTTCACCATCATCAACTCTTTCAGTCACTTTGACTTCAGCTTGATGACACCTGGTTAGTTAAACCTCTCTTTTGCAGCAATGTATGCAGTCATTTTTGCAGGGTCTTCGGCACAGTCAATCGGCATTTCCATGATATTTTCCTTCTCTATATTCAATATCATAATGATACTGGTCTATCTCTCCGATCTAACGTGCCAGTTGTCCCTCTGTGTTCTTTAATGGTGTTAACTAGCGTAACAGAGCATGGTCTGTCTTGATGGTAAACCTAGCCTTATAGAGGTAAGGATGGAAATATGCCAGACTCTTTACTATTGCAAGGAATTCCCTCCATGTTCCACAGTAGTTCCTCTTTGGTCGACTCAGGACCCTACTGAAGTAGGCCACCACATGTTCATTTTCACCAACTTTCTGAGACAACAACCCTCCAATCCGACATTACTAGCATAACAATCCAGTATGTACGGCAGTGAGGGTTTTGGAAGCTTTAAAAGTGGAGCTGAGGCCAAATTTTCTTTCAATGTCTTGAAAGAATGCTGGCAAGAAACTGTCCATTCAAACTTCTGGCCTTTTTTGGTCAAATCATGAATTGGAGCAGCTATAATTGCAAAGTCCTTCACAAACTTTTGGT